CGTAGAACACGAATATCACATCGGATTAGCGCGACAACGCTTGGCGCCCGCGCCACAGGCGCCGGCGCTATCACAACAGTTTTGCGCGGGCGCCCGTAGCGCAGGCTACAGGCTCACTCGCAACGAAACTAATGTGATATTCATGTTCTACGGGTCAAAGTACCTCTGAAGGACAAGTTCCAGCGAATTTGGTGATCCGAGATGTTCTGGCGCCTTTTGGCGCCGGCGCTTCTGACGCGAGCGCCAGGCGTTCTAGCGGAAAATGAATTCACAGTCACAGACAAATTTCAATAAAAACCTGGCTTAGTTATCGAGGAGTGGGGCAGTAAAGGGTAAATAGTGTCCATTTCTGTTATGAAATTGCTGGCGTTCATAATATTGAAAATAAAACCTCATTTTTAGCTACAAAAAAGCATTAACGAAAACAATTCCCACCTTCACCTAGCGTGAAGTCCCACTGATCAGAATCTTGACGGGTGACTTTCACGTATTCCGGCTGAAAGACGTATTTTAATAACTTGAAGCAAGCGAAGGAAAATCGACTAAATGTTACCTTAGCGAACTCCACTTTCAACGTACAACATCCCGAATAGATATCTGCACCATTGATTGCATGCTTGACCTTCTTCGCATTCTCGGCACTTTCAAACTCGACTAAAGCTTGCATCATAGACTTTCGAACAATCGCTATCCTCAACACCTTTGCATGCGGTTCGCAGATCTGGTGAATGACCTAAAACTTAGTCCATAATTGCAAGGAGCAAGCGGTAGCAGCAGTAAAATAGAATATAGAGAAAGTAGCGTTTTCCCTGGGTTCCCATTAGAAGCGCTAACATGGCAGTAAATACACTTTCTGTGGGCTCTTTAGCCATTTTTCGAAGGCAATGACCATTTTTTGCGCTACTCAGGCCTTCCTTGGTCCTCTGAAAATATCCCCTGCACTTTCTATTCCTGTGAACTTTTCTGCGGCGTTAACAAGACAGTCTGGCGCTCTTTTCCTCAGAGGGGACACTAAAGCAGGGTATTCAAAAACCGCTGGTAGGTGACACTAGGACTAAGCCCAGGATTGGAATAAAACCAGGGAGAACAATGGTTGCTCACATCCTCTCCCAGAATCCTTTCCCTCCCTAAGGCTTAGTCCCGGTATTAGTGGTCCCCGGGTATTAGTGGTCCACTCACTTCAATGTCCCCCCAAGGACATGAGCGCCGACAATCATAATTAATAACAAACCTATGCAGGAAAAAATATTGAGGAAATAAAGGTTTTGTATTTGTCATATCACTATCTCAAAAACCCCATCCAAATAAGATAAAAGCTTACATGAACATCAATGGGATACTGCGCATTGTAGACAGTTATGACGAGCACCTTGCAGGGATTCTCTGATTCAAAACCCAAGCGTTGTATGTTTTGCGAAGTGGAGTAGTTGAACAGAGCAGCATCTCCAGCAACGAATATAAGATTCGAAGCAGCAAATGTTAACACAAGCACGAGCTGCTGAAATAAGCCTTGTTTCAGCAACAAAAAAGGCGGAAGTAATAAGTAAACACTCACAAGTTAATGCCGAGACGATTCAAAAACTATTCAAACGATATTATAGAGTACCTTCTATGTCCTCAAAT